CTTTTACTTGTATTAGCTTACTGGCACATATTCCACATTCAATATGGCGGACGCTGTGACGTAGCGCAGCAACGGTCCGCCCCGCCCCATGAGGGGTCTAACGTATTTATGGTTTCTATAACATTCTGACCCATTTCCTGAAATGTTTCGCAGGAACTTCTCACAAAGCAAAAATGACAAAGAATGCTTCAGAAAAAAGTTTGATCTTGAATGGAACAAGGCTCAATTTGTTACAATTTTCATTCCTAAAAGAAACATGATTTAGATCAAAGCTACAGGCAGCCGGCTGAAAACAGAATCACATCTTAATGCTCATCATATGAAGTAAAAAAAAAAAAACAAAAACACCTGACAAAAGTAACAGACAAGAGGTAACTTTAATTAACATCGTGAGAGTCCAAAAGTTATCTTACAGCTCAGTTTTCATCAAAAACAATAACAATCTATACAGTAGATTTTTTTTTTATTCCCTTATATTATAGAGCTGTTCAGTGTATTTGCAGTCAAAGACAAACAGAGGAAAAAAATAGACACCAGCTATTTGGTTTGCATCTTTTTTTTGTTTTTTGTTCTTGTTTGTTACCTAAATACAAAACTTTGTCACCCACTACTGATATTCATGTCCAGGATGGAACTTTGCTTACAAAGATGCCATTGTATGACAACAGATCTCTGTAGATTATCTGAAACAGACCAGCCACCACCCCAACTCCCACCCCGATCCCCCCTAAACCCAAACTCCCCTACGCGCCCCGGCCCGGGGCGGGCGCAGGAACATAAGTGCCTGAAAAACACTTGTCTGTCAGCAGGCGCCGCCACTAAAACGATCCTCTCTAGTCACTTTAACAAAACCAGGCCCCTAGAAACGAAAAGCGAAGAGAGAAAAGCCCCGGTTCGCCCCCCCAACCCTCCCCGTCCAGCAACAGCTTGAAGACACACGGCAGAGACAAAGAGGAAACGACGGAAATGGCTGGCAGGGGTGTGTGTGGGGGGGCCTTCGTGTGCTGCCGTTCTTTTTGACTTAGCCATGAGGCCGGCGCAGGTCAGATATTAAAATTGTGCTGTGACAGTGCTCGCCTAAAAGTTCAAAAAGTACTACTTTTTGTTGTGAAAAAAAAGGTGCTGTCAAAATCGTTTCCCAATTGTAAAAATCCCCCAAAAAGAACCAATTTCTTTCAACGCTAATGTGCAGCAAGCATGGAGGAGTCAGTCTGCTCCGACTGCCGGTTTCAAAGCATGCCATCGCCGCAGCATTATAGTACATCGGGGTGTGTGAGATCGTTGAGTTATGGCTCTTTGTATTCTAGTGTGGCTTCAGCACCGAACAGAGCGGGTTTTGTGCTTTGTCCCCAAAGTTCTCGTGAATTCCTCTGTGGCAACACGCAGTTGTGGTGAAGGGTAGAAAACTGTACATGTGATTGAACGAAGAAAAAGGGTTTGCATTGTTAAGGCATCTAGACTGCTGGTAAGGATTACAGTGGCAGAAAAAGAAACAGTATATAGATAGTAGATGTAAGCAGGCATAAATAACATAAAAGAAGGAACAAAGGGAGGAAGAAAGAGAACACAACAAAAGAATAAACCAAACATTTCCTTAAGTCTCTTGGTTTGCACACGCATACGCGCACACACACACACACACACACACACACACACACACACACACACACACACACACACACAAGGCAGTCACTCAAGAGATGAACCCATGCATATTATCAGATCAAGAACAGTATCCATCTAAAAGCCTCGAAGGTTCAAACAAAGATATAGATTTACAGTATATATTAATGTGTGTTTATATTCTTAAAAAAATCTACCTCAACCAAATACTCTGTAAAGATGCTACTTTTTTGCCGTACAATAAACATTTTTATAAGGAAAAAAAAAAAAAAAGAACAGATTTTGTTTTTATTAACTTACAAATAATACAAAAATAGACAATGGCATGGTTTGAATGAGAGAAGAACAGAAAAGGTTCATCAATGCAAAAAAAAAACCCACACAACAAAAGAAACAGTAAAAAAAAATCAATTAAAACAGTCACATTTAAATAGTGGGAGACAACAGTAACAAAGCAAAAGACTCTGTGACATGTTCAATTACTTGCATTAAACGTACACAACACAACTAAACGATGGTGAAAGTCAATGTACATACACAGGATAAATACATTATTTATAGAATATTTTACAGGACTCCCCCTTTTCTTTTTTTTCGAATCCAAATCCATGTTTTGCAGATGAGATATTGACAACACAGAAAAGAAAAAAATCTATTGTCTGTACTGAGAAGCTGCCATAAGACGTTTTAATGCTCACATCCCAAACTATAGCTATCGCGAAAGGAAACGAGATGCCAAATTTTATTTTATTTTTTTAAAAAGGAACAAAAGTCAACTTTTATTTAATATATACAAAAATATATCACGCTTTTTTTTTTTTTTTTTTTTTTTTTTTTGTTAAATTTGATAATTGCTAGGCTCCTTCAGTAACAGTGCTGGCTGGACGCGCGCATCCTCCGGCTTTTCAAGTCTTTACTAACATCTCCAACCGAAAAGAACAAAAAAGAAAAAACAAAAGGCAAAATCTTCACCTTTTCCTTCACACGATAAAGCAGAGAAAAAGCATATTGCAAACAGCTCAATCCTCACAGTTTTATCAAAAATTCATACAAACAAACAAAATGCGGAAGGGAACATAAAACACAGAAGGCGGGTGGGGGCATTTTTAAAGGACAACTCTTTAGATTTGTGAGAGAATTAGCAGCAAATATCGAGGGTGGAATTGGTTCTCTTCTACGATTTTCTTTGCGTTTTGTGTTGCAAAACGGCAGGAGTTGGTGGGTGGTGGGGGCGGGGGGCAGGGGAGGTGTGGTTTCCGTAATCAAACCCAAAGCTTCCAGCCATAAACATCAAGATAAATAAATGCTCTTTTCATGAGGTCAGTGTCACACTGTGGGCAAGCGATCAGTCTCTTTACACTCCATCCGACATGGTGTCAGAGATGCTACACTAATTCGACCAAAAAAAGGGGTGAAAAACCCCAAAAAACTAAAAAAAGAAACATCACAAAGGCTCAATATGTCCCCTTTATCTTCTTTATCTTCCCATTCCGATGAAATCCCATTGGAAAGGCCTGAGTTTTATAGTCCAGCGTCTTATCTTTGCTTCCTTCACTGAAGCTCTGGAGAGCAGCAGAGGCTCGCCAGGCTCCGCTACTGTGCCTTTTCCTCTCAACGCTCTCCCCAAAACTCTCCAGCTTCCCACATCCTCTACATGGGAGGAACAATCATCCCAGGGATTGCTGCTTGGCGAGAGAGAGAGAGAAGAAAAAAAAAAAAAAGAAAGGAGAAAAGTGGGGTAAAGGGAGGAAGAAAGGGAGAGAGGGGTCAGTCACATGATTGCTGGGTTTCATCTGTCATCAGAACAGTCGCATAACAGAAAGTCGCTCTGGCATCTGGCGAACAAAGACTTTTTTTTTTTTTGTCCTCATTATCTCTTCATTTCCAGGCCAAGGAATGAAAACATTTCTTTCTCCGCCGAGCCGCGAACTCGGTGTACGTCAACAACGCGGTCTGGCTATTCGCGGGCTCTTCGGAGCTGCTAGCAGCTAATTGTTAGCGGTTAAACCATGTAAGAGAAGTCTGTGTTTCGGAGAGCAAAGCAAACATGACGGTGACCACAGAGGTGATGAAATTAAACTTCAAGGAAAAGTAATATTTGAGTTTATCAGTTTGATTCTGACACCTTCCTCTGAGTTCCCTTTCCCCCTTTCTCATTCCCCCCCCACACAGAAGCCATCACAGGAAGGAATTTTTCATACAACATATTGGCTTCGTATTGATTCCCCACTCTCTCCCTTCAATCCACTAATTCCCTGGTTCTTCCATAAGAGTCTCTGGCTTGTTGGGATTAACAGAACTGTGTGTGTGTGTGCGTGTGTGATCAGCATGCGGTGGCCATTGGGTCTCGGGTCACTGTGGTCAGCGCTCATCAACGCCGCCAGAGGAAGCGAGGAAGTGCTTAGCTTGGGGCTCTGATAAAGATTCCCATCCATCATCTCTACCTCCCTCTCTCTCTCTTTCAGGATCTCAACACTGTACAACATCCTGCCTAGACGAATGGACAGTGAGTGTGCTGGATTCAGTGGAAATGGGAGAAGAGAATGACCTGCAGTGGCATTACAACCTCAACACTCTCCCCTGCCCCTCCCCAGAGAGACACCCGCTGGGGGCACAGGCAGGAAGCAGGAAGCAAAAACAGGAAATACAACACATATGGTGTGGCACAGTCACACTGACAAATCAAGACTTACAAAAACAAAAGCAGGGAAAAAAACAAAACAAATAAAGGCCGTGTGACATGTTGCAAATGACCAGCTGAAACGGTTCCGGTCAGAAATTTACACACACTCATCATCTGCATAAATGGCATACGTCATCATTAAAAGCCCCAAGCTCAAGAAATGAGAAGATGTAAGCTTCTGACCAGAAATGTAAGAATGTAGAATACAAAAAAAATATGGAGAGGAAGAAACGAAATAGAAGAATAACATACTTCAGGAGAAGGCCAGGCCCTGCAGAGAGCTGGCTGATGAGTACTTGCTAGAATCCACAAAAGACTGATCTAAAGAGGGGAGGAATAGTAGGAGGTTGCAAGAAAGGCAAAGAGAGGGACATCAAAGGGTAAAGAGGAGAAAGAAAGGGAGGATAAGATGAAGAAGTGTAAGTAAAAGTGAGAACCTGTTATTAGAGATGTACAGTAAAAGTAAAAAGGTAGTTCCTCTCTTGCTAATGGCTTCGCTTGTCAGCTCACCTTGCAGGCTGTTAGCATTAGCGCTGGTGCAGGTGGGAGGAGGTGAGTTCTGGGGCCGAACGACGGGGGCGAAGGCGCTCTTCTGCTTGACGGCGGCGGAGACCATGTTGGCCGGAGAGAAGGAGAAGATGCCGGAGGAGCTGCTGCAGTTGGACGCCAGGCTGGTTGAGGACGCCATGGTCGGGCTGGATGGGACGACTGAGAGAGGAGAAACGGGCAGGAAGGCGTGTTTATGTGGGACCATAGAGGGAGAATGGCAGGGAAGAGCAGACAGAGTTGAAGACAGAAACAGGGGGGTTAGAGAGAAGGCCGAGGGCAGAGGACAGGCAAACGGGATGAACAGAAAGGGGCTGGTCAATGGATGATGGCAGGAGGGATAACGTTTTGAACTCAGACTCAGATTGTTTTTACCAGCCTTGTATTTTACTGTGCAGTTACTTGGGTAATGGGACGTTTGTGGTAAACGCGAAAGCAAACAACCTAGAGCTCCCTTCCTTCTCTTCTAATCAGTCTGTTTTGGTGACTCATCCGGGGCTCAAAGGTTGGCGTCTCCTTAACTTCTCTGTAATGTTTTTGGAGCCGTTCACTTTAATATCATGTTTAATCCAGAAGATCTATGAGATTTCCACCCAAATCCAAGAGTCAGTTTGGTTTCAGCAATTACAAAATACAAGAGAATAGCATCTGCTCACTGGAAAAATAGATCGATTGAGACATTTGGTATCTTCACCGCAGTTGGAGCAGAGTTATACTTGCTTTGTTTGGGTTAAGTTCTGCCCCGGTGGCCGTCGCAACATTTCTGGTTGAAAAGTTTTAATTAAATGTTGGGATTTGCATAAGGACAACACATCTAAACACATATGTTTTGTTTTTTTTCCCCCCCAACATTCACATTTGTTGAATGTCTTAACTTTAATAATGTAGTGGTTGGTTTTGTTAATGTAACCACATTATAAAACACATTTTTTATTCTGCTTACTAGCTATTTTTTATTATCTGTTATAAAGCATCTTGCTATCTCTTAAGAAAAATAAATGGAGATCCAAAAAACACAAGTTGACATCACTTGCAGTATTACATAATTGTAATGAAAACAATAGGAGAGTGGAATAACATTGTGGTGTGGCCAAAAAATGCATAAACTGTCATGAATTGGTGAGTAAGAGGTGGTGAGGATGAACGCAGAGACCCAGGTTGTGATGAAGATGATGATGAATTTAATGGTAAATGTGGCTCAAAAAGGTCCAGATCAGGTGGCACGGCAGAGAGTTTAGCACACAGCTAATTACCGGTAGCAACTGATACAATGAGGACTGAAAACGAGAGCTAAATGCTAACCAGGACTATACAGTACAACTGGGGACCAGAGAACGTAAGACGTACGACAGAACTGACTTTAGACGAGGATCCGACAAGAGACAAAGGACACAGGTGGACTTAAATACACGGGAAGGGTAATCAGGAAAACTAGACACAGCTGGGAAGCAACCAACAGGACAGGAACAGGACTAAATACAGAAAACCCCAAAAAATAACTACACAGAAAATATAGAACACAACATAAACCATCCTAAATATAGTTAGAAATATGAATAAGCCTTCATCTGTGTATTTGGTTTCATTTTTAATTTCACAAATCAAACTTTGCTCCTTTATCTGGAGTGGGGACTGGTAAAGATGACCAAAAAGATTTGGTGAGTTGCTTAGATTTTGGTTTTAGAAATGTTTTTCTTTTTCTGACTGATCCTCCAGTAGAGGCGTCATGTACGAGTGATTCATTTCAAGCTCGATGGTGGAGCTCTGACTGCAGCTAGGAGGGACTGCCGTGTGAAGACTGGCCTGCCTGTGAGTGCTTCGGCATCATGTTCAATGAGCAGAGAGAAAAAAAAATGACAGGTGCTTTTACGTCAGAAAACATTGCTGGGTTTGTCACTCGTTCTTTTGAAAATGTGTCGCTTGAAGGGTTTTAATTATCACATCAAAGTGCCTAAGATGGCAATGCTGCTATGAAGTTCTTAAATAATTAGCAATAGCAAATATTTCATTTGGCGAGAAATTTATTAACAGCTTTAAAAATAAGAAAATCACTTTATAGATCATGTAGTTTATTATGCAAATTAATGAGCTGTCATTCATACAAAGTGTCCAATGTTTCTGAATATAGGTCATCAATGGAAATAAGCTGCTATGTTATTGATCAGAGTGCATTTTATCAGCTGCAAGTTAGCCAAAATTAGCAGTGATACCTTCACTGCGGCTGGTTTAAACCAATGATTCAGACCTCTTTAAACATAAACACTGACTTAAAAAAAATCACCCATTTAAAGTTTAAAAATAATGTAAAATATATTTTTATTGGTAAAACAGGAGCCATTAGGAACTCGAATATCTCAGGGCTTCATGCAGTCGTGTAGGTTTAATGGTAGAAAGATATTAGATTCAACAGCAGAGCAGTTTTGAACAAAGCTTCAAAAACTTTCGTGAAACTGGAATTAAACTGAAGCCTTCAGTTGTATTTACAAGAATGCGCAAAAATGAGCAACAAATAAAAAATACCGCCTCCACCTGCCCCATCCATTCATTTCTGCCAGGTTTGTCTTTTGTCTGCTAATACACTAAGAGCATTTTCCCCCTCAGTGACTTTACAATCAGCTGAGTCGTATTTCACCTGCCCTCTGAATCCTGCGTCTGCTTTTATTGTTGTTATTATCCAACACTTAGCTTTTATGGCTCTTCCTGACAAATCCTTTGCAATAAAGTCATAATCCATTTATGAAGGGGCCTAACTAATCAATTAATGAAAATTGGACCTACAAAGGCAGGCCGAGGGGCCATTGATTGAAAGTGTCTGTGTGGGGCCGATGAGCCTGTTAAAATACTTGTTAACACTCAGGAATCAAAGAGCTGAAATGGAATTGCTTCTCTAGCAATTAGTTTATTGATTTAATCAAGGGTCTTTAATGTAGGGGGTGAAAGTGTGTGCACAGAAGTGGGCCGGATATATGTGTGTGTGTGTGTATTTGGAAGGGGGGTGCTAGGTGATATGCTCTCCTGGCCAATAAAGCAGGGATTTGTGTTTGACTCTGCCCTTAAAGAAACAGATGACCCAGCTGAACTGTAATACTTCAGAGTCAACTCTTGATCTCACTTTTGTTTCTCAGTCTGTCTCAAAAACGTATTCTGTTACGTTGGAAATGACTGATTGGGTAGAAACCACAATGAGAATAATAATAACAATAACATCTTGATTCTTAATTTTTAATAAGAAGTGGAAATGATTGAGAATTAAAAGGGGGCAGAAGGTCATGCTGGATATGGAAATATTTTTTTTCTCTTCACTGCTTTCTTTAGTAAATACTTAAAATCGGGCAAGTTTGTCTTTCTGTTGCATTAATGAAGCTTCTTGCGCAACAATTTTGGGAGTCCAGAGGCCTACAAGTAGCTGTACAAACATGGTCACTCTTAATTTTTCTTCAGTTTCTCTTCTGTTTATGTCATACTAAAATACGAGATTTGTTTTCCCATCTCAATACTAATCTTTCTGCCACAACAATTTTGGGAGTCGGGTTTGGATTTCAACCAGACAACCATTTTGGATTCTTGTTTCTTTCCTTTTCTTTTGCTCCTTTTCTTTTCTTATCTTTATATATTTTTTGTATTGCAGTTTTTTTAGTTTGTTTTTGCTACAGATCTGGGGGCTTATCCAGGATTATTTTTTACCTATGACATTTTCACCGAGTCTTAACTAGTTAGCAGTCTAATCATGACCAGGATGGTTTATTTTCATTTTTAAAAATAATTACTGAAGTTTATGCCTCAATAATCTTTTTTTTGGGGGGGAGGTCAGTCTTTTCCCACCTCTGTAGATTGAAAGATGTGATGCATTTACTCACTAGCATAGGGCGAGTTGCCTGCTGATCCATTGAGGAAGTTGGGTGAAGTGCCCAGGGTTGCCATGCCAGAATTAGCGTAGCCATTCATGCTAGTGGAGACAGAGCTGTAGCTGCCCTGCTGAGGAGTGGAGCTGGGGACATAACCATGAGGGGACACACTGCTTGTACTTCTACTGAAACCTATGGACAGGGAGAAAAAAAAAGGAAAGACAGAAAGATTTGTGTTAGATGGTAAAGCAGATGGAGGGAAAATAGAGAAAGATTTCATGCAAGCCTGCCAAGTTCTCAACTCCGTACAAGACTGATGGATGCAGCAATATGAGCCAACAAGATTTCTTAAAAAAAAAAAAAAAAAAAAAAAAAAAAAAAAACTCTTACACAACATATGGCAAAGCGCAAAAGCAATGAACAGAGTGGAAGAAGAATGATATTAGAGATCCGACAACTGAAACAAGAGGCCTTTAACCCCACTGGCTCCCCTCCAGTTTTAGATGCATTGACAAGGCAATTAACACTGAAGTGCTTCCACAGCCTTGCTGTAATTTATAAAGAATGAAGCCTGTATTTCTGATAGGTTGAAGAGCTCCTTCTCTTGAAGGAGTGAGTACAAGGTGGACAGTGTAGTGAGGAAGACGATAAATAGACTTCTCAGGTTCAACGTGCTGACGCTGGAGGAAAAACAGCTGGAAGTGAAAGTATTTTTCTTTTTTCTCTTTTATTACCGTTGTCTTTTTTTTTTTTTTTTTTTCCTCCAGCGCACTACTCTTCCATAATTAGCATCCATTCTCCCCCATTCTCACCTCACATGATACAAGCTACGGTCTATGATATAAGCAGCTGACCTCCCTTGTTTGCCTCGTAGCTGCAGATGTTTCCAGATGAAGACGGAGGGCAGAAGAAGCTCTTTGGAATTATTGAGACGCGATCCAGAGGCAGGTCCATCCGCTCTCCTCTCGCTCCCCTGATACACGTGATGAATCACCACTGACTGCACCCACATCTCTCTCTGTCAGACAAGGGCCGACCCCAGTCTGATATACACACCCTAAGGGCCCACTCATTTTTCTCTATCGTACTCCATCCATGACTCTCTTTTTCTCCATTCCTCACTCTTTCACAGCCATTCTTTGCTCCTTTCGAGTCCCCCCACCCCCCCGTCGTTCCCACTGCCGCCCGCCATCCCCGCTCTCCTTCTCCTGTCCCGCATTTTAAAGGTTTTCTTCGATGCTCCACGCTCTTAAATCAACCCCCCGCTATATTTCCCACATGAAAAATAAAATTTCCATTGCACTACTCATTTTTACTATCCGCCTCAGAAAGAGGAAAATAAATTAGACTCCTGTCACTTTTCCCTCCGTGTCAGGCTTTAACCATTTCTCGCTGCGCTCCGCTCACCCTGATTGGCCGTTTGTGCCACCTCCGACCCGGTGAAGGAGTTTACGGCCATCATGCCGGCGTGGACGGAGCTGCTGCCCAGACTGGCGAGCTGGTTGTGCCCCCGTGGCACTGTCGTGTAGAGGGCCTCTGCGATGTCCGCCGCTCGTTTTAGAATCATCTCCTAACCAGCAGGAAGAAAAACAAACCAGCTCTGGTTACTAATAGGAAAGGAATTAGACAATTATTACAGTGGTAATTAGAAAGTGCGCCCTCTTTTAATTATACAGTCTTAAATCTCAGCGCGTAATAGAAATGAATCAGTTTTTGCCAGTATGTAAAATGTTTATAATCTAATCTCAAATGTAAAAAAAAAAATAAAATAAATCACACATCATCTATTTCAAAAAACCCACAAACTTCACTTTTGACTTTAGAATACTTTGGTATACAGTGAAATAAACCCAAATCATCACACATTCATCACCGTGCTTAAAGGCTAATAAGGGATATTTGTGCTGATATTTCGAGTTTCTACTTCTCTAATCACAGAACCGTCAGTCATACATCAACATTAGTTTTATTTGACCAATGGAAATTCTTCCAGAAGTCTTTTGTTCATTAATATTCAATGTTATTTGTTTAGGCTTGTTGTGATTTTACTGTCATTAGCTCTTGAGTTTCTCTGAGCTTTCTGAGTTTCAAATTGGCAACAGCTTCAAATGTTTTCCCACAAATCCAAGCGAAGCTGCAACATCATATCTAGTTTTTGCCACATGCTTTTGTATTTTAGCTTGATTCTTGTTCATATTTAACGGTCCTTTACGTCAATATGGAATCTGCTGTCTGTTTCTGTCCATGCATTTTAAATCAGCAAAAAATCAGATTGTTTTTATGGAGCCCTCATACGGCATGGCATTTTCAAAGTATCAAAACAAACAAGCAAACAAACAAAAAAAAGACAACCTTTTCACAATTTCATTATATTAGCGCAATAATTTGTCTTTCTTAAAAGCAACAAAAAACATGACTTTTCCTCCCAGTTTTGTAAAGTTCATATTTCATCACTCCTGTCTGCCATCTAAAGTTAGTTTTCACTTTACTTCTTCAGCTTTTCTCCTAGTCTGTGATAACAGAGATGAGATATTCCCATTTGCACCACATCTAGCGTGAGACACCAGTCTTGTTATCACAGTACGATAACAATCTCACTATATCACATTATTAACGCAAAATCTTTTAAAAAGTCTAACGACTTTTTAAAACTCCCATTGAAAATGCAAAGCAACAACAATTTCTATTTCTGGTATTGGCATTACAGTTCTAATGCCAATACCTACAATATTTCTTTCACTCTTTGTTTTCTATGCACTGACTTAAGCAAAAATAAGTCAGTGCATATTTTCCACTCCAGTGGAAAAATCCACTAAAGTGTTTGGTGTGGAGAACAATCTGCCTTCTAGCTGCGTAGAAAATGGTAGTTGGTAGTTTAGTCAGGATATATGTGTAGGTAACTAGCCTGCAGTTGTCTGCTTTATAGCATTGGAGTGGCAAGTCGTTCACTCTTAGTAGTCCAGGCCATGACTCTCCATCAGAGAGAGCAAAGAAACAAGTGGGGGAGGGGAGGAGTGGGTTAGCATTTCTCCCTGCTAACCCTAAATCTCTTCGAAACTTTCTTTGGTATCTGATTCACAGGAAATTAAACAAGAGAAACTGTGTGAAAATCAACATTCCTGCAGTTTAAGGTTCTTTTAATGAACCATTAAAGTAAGGAAGGGACCGGCGTTTTCTTTGGCTGTATGGAGTAAAGAGTAACGCAGCGCTGCCTTTCCCCCCACTTTCACTCAGCTGGCTGCGGAAGGCAACCAAACCTTTCCATGCTTCCAAGACAAACAAACGAGCCTATCAGGAAATATTTACAGTTGCGGAAAAGATGGGAAGTCATGTCAAGGAAGCTGAACGAGCACCATCCACTTTTATGCTAAAAGTAATTAGATCATATTGTATTTCAATTTTATGCGTAAATACAAGAATGCCATGAAACCACGACACGTCTCCTTTAGGTTATCGTGAGAACCTCAGATCGTCGTATGGATTCTTGTGTTTTTGTGTAAGTGTGGTTGTGTCACCTGGTTATTGTGAGGCATCCCGTACAAGGCTTCCACCAGGTCGGCGGCTCTCTTTAAAATCACCTCCTACATGCAAACAAATAGAGAGAAACAGAGAGAAACAGAGGGAGAGAGAGGAAGGGGATTGATCAGGAGCGTGACGGCTCAAAGAGTTCAGTCACTTTTATTACGTTTCACTTCTTACATTATGCTGTGAATGCAGAACAGAGTGGCAAAGAGAGGAGGGGGGGGGAGAAGCAGACAGAGGCAGGGTGAGGAAGAGAAATGGGCCTATCCCAGCACTTTGTTACCAGCCAGGGCAGTTTGGGAGAGGAGAGGGAAGATACTGTTATCAGTGAATAAAACATGAGCCTATATCTCTCTATCAGTCAACCATCTTCTGCATCTACTCCCCTCCTTTTTTTCTTTTTTATTTCTTGTCACTGATGGATCGTGACTCCGGTGCGCATGATCACGCATCAATTTCATTTAACACAACATATCATCAGGTTGACGGCTACACAACCACCCCCAGTCAGTGGCAACACTCTCGTCTCCTGGCCTGTATTAACCCCGGTAATGATCCGAGTGAATGGCCCCCACATCCACTTTGTGTGATAAATGTAGAACATCATTGCTCAGGTGAAAACCGCCGAGCGGAATTTCCCACATCAAACATTTATCCTAACGCAGTGTTACCGCTCCCCCCCCCCCCACCACCGCCGCCGCCGCCGCCGCCGCCGACCCCCTCTCTCTTCTCTCCGTCTCTATTCCTTTCCCCTCCCTGAGTGGATGAGTGTGTGACTCCAGGCAGTCGTTATATATGTGTGTGCATGTGATGGAGACACCTACAGCCCTACAAAACCCTTTTTAAAAGTTAATGTGCCGGGGCCAGGATATATGCTGGAGGTGCGACAACCAGAAAATTGCAGCCCCCGCCCCTCCGCCCTCCCCGCCTCCCTCTAGTTTCTTTCTCTCCCTCTTTCTTTTCCACACACACGCTGTGCGTTATACTCTCCTGAGTGTATCCCTCGCTGTGAACAAGCCCCGAAGCATGTGTGCTCTCTGTTCCGTGACACACCGCCTTTCAATCAGACCTCATATCAAACTCCCCCTCCCCTCCACCCACCACTCCCACACACACACACACACACACGCATACGCGCAGCCGCACACATGTGGAAGCTGTCGAGCACGCCCGAGACATGACGAGAGGGTCAGCAAAGCAATAAAGATTGTAGAGCGCTGTCCGAGGTGCTAAATTCACTCAATAATGGGAGCGCTGCCTCTGTGTTAACCTCCCATTACTAGCACTATCTTGGGGGGGGGAGGCGGGGAGGGGGAGGAGGGGGAGACCAGAGAGGAGGCCTGCTTCAGGTGATTGAGAGATGTAGAGGCCCTAGGAAGGTAAGTGGTTCTTTAGTATGTATGCGCCGCTCTTCGCCTTTCCTTTCTCTCTGCTTTTCCTCCACGCCACACGCCTCCCAGGGATTGCTAGATAGGTAGATGGACGGATGGAGGGGAAAGAGAGGGATGAGGCAGAGGGGAAGAAGAGGGGGGAAATGAGGGAAGTGTGAGGCATTAGGACCCAACCAGATCTGCAGCTGGAGTGTTAACAGTGTTCCGGGAGGACACGTGAGCGCTCGGTCACTTAACGTCTGCACATTCACCCCCCCACCCCACATCCCCCCCGCGCCCTCCCTTCCCCACCTGTGTCTCCAAACTACTTTCTTTCGTCTCCCTCTTCTATTAATCACTCTCTCGTGGTCCTGCGCCCCGTCTGTGCCCATCAGCCTCTCGTTAGCCGGGGATCTGTCCAGTGGCTAAACGCGATTAGGCCGAGCTCCAGAGTCGTTCTGATAAACAGATAAATGTGGTTAGCTCTGCCGCTGTAAGGGGAGACCATTTCCTGGGCGCAAGGGTCTCTTCCCGTAAAGTCAGGCCCACAGAGACGTCAACAGGAAGGGGAACCTGATCCAGAGCAGAGCCTGGCCCCCGTCTGGAGGGCCGGTCACTCATTAGCAACACCCAGACGCCCACAGCTTCTGCTGAACTCCATGCAGTCCAGCTACCTAGTCGCTCTCACAGTCTGGCTATTACCTACAGCAGAGTGTGCCTGTCTGAACCTGGTTTTTATATTCTTGTGGGGACCTATTTCTGTCTACAATACAAGCTATTTTTGGGTTAAGTTTAGGGCTATGGTGTGAATTGACTTTTGGTTAGGGTTGGGCATGTGATGGGTAAGGTTAGGGTAAAAGTTAAGCTGTAGAAAATGAATGGAAGTCAATGTAAAGTCCCCCCAAGATATGAAAACACCACTGCATGTATGTGTGTGTGTGAGGTGTCTGGTTGCTTGCTCCCCTTTTAACATGCTCAGAGTAAGCTTCTTCATCCCTTTACAAACTGACAAAGGAGGTTTGACAAAGAAACCGTGCCTTGAAAAATTACTCACACCTGATACGACATTACTTATACCTATGAAGTTTAAGTGAAATAATACATCCTGGTTTTTCAAAGTAAAAGTTACACTCCTAAATAAAAAGTATTGCAATAATTGCTTCTAAGATTCACCTGATTGTGATGCGTTAAACAATGGGACAGTTTAGATCAAAGTGTATGAATGACTCAGTTTAAGTCCAAACCTAAAGGCACTTGAGAATTTGTGAAAAAACTTGAAAACTGATCTTTTAAGACCCCGTCTTTTCAATCAGATTGAGTGCAAACTATTGTGCACAAGAATGAACAAACCTTTTAATAGCTTTAATCGGACAAATGTGCAAATTTTCAACTTCTATGAATACTTTGTCGAGACAATGTGACTGTATGTAGATCCAGAAGTTGCCTGCATGTTCCCCTCTCCTGCCCAACTGAGATGATTGAGGCCAACAATTGGGAGAAGTGTGGTCAACAAAGTGTTATTACCTCAATAAAGGCGCAAATCAATAGCTCTGAAATGAACAAGCGGGCCTGCCAGCTACCGCTGTTCATTTAGAAAGGAAAGAGACACCACCAAGTGAGGGAGAACGAGACGGAGTGGGAAGAGGAGACGGATGGATGGATACAAAGACATTTAGAGAGATACGGGGGGTTGATAGGCTAAAGACCCGAATTCAACGGGACAAGTCGCGCATCCACCAGACACTCCGCCAGGATCAGCAAGGAGTTCTTTATCTTCCCTCTTGCATCTACCTGAGCTCTTCATCCCTACCTCCTGGCCACTTCCCTCCACCCGGTGCACATGTGCGCGTGTGCACTTCTTTTAGTGTGCGCTGCTCTTGTGGATGTGTGCTGGAAGTAATAAAGTCCACCCGGGGTTGACTTCGATCCACTGACCCAGCAGGAGGTAGGACTGGACAGCTATGATGGATCACCTAACCTGCTTCTGCCTCAGCCTCCTTTCTTCCCTCTATTCCTCTTTTCCTCCCCTCACCTACCCCTCTTTGCCAGTCTAAATGACCTTACACTCGGTGGAAGAATAAATGGAGCTGCTTTTTGTTTGTTGTTCCTGTTAATTATCTCCGTCTGCGGAAAATCTCCATAAACAGTCCCCGGCAAAAGCATTCAGAGCTGTTTAACTTTTTGCATTTTGTCCTGTTAGAAGTTATTTCCATTTTATATTACAGACTAACACTAAGTGGTTCACAGATGTGAAGTTGAAGGAAAATGGTACATAGTTTTCAAAAAAACAAACAATCAAAATCTTTAAAAAATATGGCATAAGATATGACCTCGACTGAAACACCTTTCTCTGAAATCACAGTTGACATATTTGCTCACTCTTTAAACTCAGTCAGATTGGTCGCCATTTGACTTAAGTCTGGACTTTGATTGGACCGTTCTAATCCCACTTTTTTATTGTGGGGTTGCTGGCTCCTATCTCAAGTGGCCATTAGGCGAGAGGTGATGTTAAATCTCAATTAAGTGGCCAGTTCATCACAGGACAACACTGAGCAATACAGGACAAACAACTACGCACAATGACCAATTGACCCAGCAGTCACATTTTGAACTGAATATTAGTTTGATCACTAATATTCTCAGAATCACTGAGATTTAACAACAGAATTTAAACTGACAATAAATTACAAATTGGTGGGACTTTAAATATCCAAATGTTCCAAAGGGTGACTTATTAAAAGGTGTGAGGGTGAAGTGGTCTGAACAAAAAGCATGCCAAACTTTTTAAATTTTAGATTTCTGTGTAACCTTAACTCCTCGTGCACAACTGTGTTTTTCTATCACAGAAAATCCCAATAAAATAAAAACTTCAAGGGATAAGAACAGTTATGAAAGGAATTGCTCCATGTCACCTCGTGCATTCTGTAGTCTATCCTGCATGTTCGACTGTCTCCGAAGAACTAACTGCACGTGAGGACACACCGCCCTTTGCTATTTCTATGAAACTCAAGATGTTTTCAATACATCTCATGTCTTCCAGTTATACCACGTCAAACTCCTGTGGAATCATTTCACTGGGCAAGCAGTGGAAGGACGGTAACACGAGAAGAGTGGAGAGGCGCCGTACCTTGGGTAATCGCTCCTGGTCTCCAGGGTGTCTGGGGATGACCTTCTGTAATCTCTGGAAGCCGTAGTCTATTGTTGGCTCGTTTAGTGCTGAAATAAAAAAAAAACAAACAAAAAAAACAAAACAACACATAAATAAAGCTTTAAGTCTATGACTCTTGATAAGAAAAAACACACAAGGTTTAGCCGAGAAACATGACAGGACGCGTCCCGGACACCTGACTTAATCGAGCGAGAACGTGAAACCAAACGTGGCACAAACGTAGGTATTCTCCGCAAGCTCTGGTGTGTGTCTTTGTTAGCCTGTGATGTAATGAATCTCTCTCTGTCTCCTGCTTTGGTGGTTAATAAAAAGACTGTCAGGAATCATGCGGGGGTGAATACATTTGTGTGCATGACTGTCTGTGTGTGTGTGTGTGTGTGTGTGTGTGAATCTTGAGGTCTTGCGTTGATCAGCGACTAATATAAGCAATTACAGAGCTTGGTTCCAATATAACAAAGGCTTGATCGCTCCGGGGAACAAGCTAAACACATGCACACACACACACACACACACACACACACACACACACACACACACACACAACACACACAGAGTGAGCTCATCCTGACGGCAGGGAGAAAGCACTCTCTCTGCATGCTGTGGTCGTGCAACGGTAATTGAATATGAGAAGATTTACCATGAATATTTAAACATTAGAATAAATACAATGAAGATCTGAGGCATACAGTACAAACACTTCAGAGGAGGACTGCTGCTGGATAAGTGCTCTCTCCACATAATTCATTCCTAATGTACTGTCTCTGCCTTTCTCCCTGTCTCCCTGTGCTTCCGAACAGTCTTAGCTCTCTCCTGAGCCGCCTTGGAAGTCAACGTGAGGTCTTGTCTACTTTTCAGGGGAGCGTCCCTCCCTTCGAGGTTGCTGCGTCTCAGTCGCCCGAGTGCGCTCGGGCTCGTATTTGTGCCAGGAGACAAAGAAAAGCTACTATTATTCGCTGGGAATTGCCTTGGTGCGTTTGTCCCATCCGTCTGTTTTCCCTGTGGGTCGCAGCTTGGATGTTTCCTGAGGGCTGATGCCTCACTCGCCTCACATCTGAGCAGCCAGGCTGACTAGGCGGCCCCAAGAAAAAAAAAAAAAAAAAAAAGGCCCCCAGAGGGTATGAGTACAAGCTGTCCTGCTGGACCTCTAGTGATTTCACCATTGCTTCACTCCTATACACGCAACCACACACACACACATACACGTGCACACGCACACACACACACACTCTTGAACCAAAGACAGGAGCCAGAGTAGGTGATGCTCTCCTTTGGCAACACAAACATATTTGGACAGCTCTCCCTGTGGACTGCTCCCAGTAATCCATAAGAGTGAATGAAAGGAAAGGTGAATAGCTAGAAGCAAAGACGCCAGAGGGAAGAAAGAGCAAAAGTCCCGGTGCCAGGGGCAGGCTCAACTTCCCAAGAAGGACGCACATTAGAGGCTGCATGATCCGACGGATGAAACAAAACACAATGACACGATCGCATGCAACAAATACGGCGTGAATTATTGCCGGGGACAAATATTTGACATTACTTCCCCCATTGTCTGATCTCCGCAAAGCCTAAAGGAGGATTTTCCCTGGATTAGGACCCACCAGAGTCGGAGGAGAAAAGAGTGTGTGTGTGGGGGGGGGATTGTTCCGGCAAAATCCTCTGTTTTGTCTCAAAGGCTTTTGTTTTTATGATGAATTTTTTATCAGTTCTGCTCAATGTGCCAAATGAGCCTCGAGTGAACAATAGCATAAAAAACCCTAGGACATACAGGATACCCCTATTACAAATAAAGACACAATTTTGGTAATTGAGAGAGGAAACTATATTGTCTCTGCTCGTTTTCAAGGGCCATAAACCAGAGAAGGTGTGTGTGTGTGTGTGTGTGCGTGTGTGTGTGTGTGTGCGTGTGTGTGTGAGGGCGGGGGAGACGAAGCACTTCGCTAACTACTTTTGCTTCATCTCTTTAGGGATTATTTGTCGCCTTTTTTATGCCCTTACAGGTGCATCTGCATGAATTAGAATATCTTTGAAAAGTTCATTTTTCTCAGGAATCCAGTTCAAAGAGTGGTAGCCTTTTACTAATGTGTTGCACAGAAAGTGATTCAGATCAAGCTACTATTTCTGTACATTTTGATGGCCAAAAATTGAATTCCTCAAAATATTTGAAGATCACATAAGGTAAATAAAAATGAGTTTTAATACGTATATTTCATGATATGCACAGAAAGGGAAAACACTGCTGACTTGACCGTTGTCCAGCCAGCATTTTGTAAGCACCCCTCATAAGGAAGGCATCCCTTAAAAAGGTATTGCTGAAGAAACTAGTTTCACTTTACGCTCTCCTTGAAAATGGTTGGGAAAATGTTCATGTCTTTACTGTAGCAAGCCTTTATTGACATATTCTCCTGAATAACTTCTGATTAAAATCAAAATGTTGCTGTCTACAAGTCTCCTGTAAAACATATCCTTCACAAACTTGAAGTTATCATACGGGCTCCCGCTTTGTGACTTTTCACAGGAAAAAAAAAAAAATCACTGGTTTCTTCCTATACCACGAAACTCTCACTAAGAAAACTCCTTCATATGTACAGTAATGACTTAATACCAATAAGAATAGTTGATGTTTAAGTTTCATTTGGTCACTCTTCTTCACTTCCCCCTCTGAAAAATTCTTTGATAAAAATCGTCCAACAAAGCTGCACCTTTTGTTCAGCGGCTTGGTTTTATTATGTGACTATATTTGCTATTTACTTTCGTCTTTTCTGGTGTTAATAGTCTAAAATTTTTCTCTCTTTTGTTGTATAGTATGGTGTAATATTGTTCTTTTCCAGCTCTTTAATGTTAAAGAGAATTGGTTCTCAGTCGATCCGGTTGGATAGGTGAAAGATTTCTTTTGTTTGTTTTTTTGGACAATGAAATTAATTAACTTTTCAGTGATAATCTTGCAAAGATGAATGTAAGATCTATGTTCAATATCTTACATTTTGCAGCAGAAGTTAGTGCTAGAAGAAAAAAACAACAACTCCTTCTTTGCTTGAAAGAAAAAAAAAAGGAGTGGTGGGCTTCTGCACTCCGGGATTCAAAGCTCCCACTCTCCCATACAGGTATATTTATAATCCTTAGCTGTCGCTCTCCAGAAGAGCAAATCAAAGCCAGTAAAACATAACTGCCATAAATAAATGAATAGATGAGCAACAGCCCTGGACTGGAGGGATTCACCTAGCAATCACCCACATCAGATCAGATCAATGCTCATGGAAATTTCATGAAGCCTAGAATCCACATCGCTTCATATTTCACTATAATAACCCACAGAGCCGCAGGGGGAGTGCGTACGAAGAGGTGAGGGTGGGAAGGGGGGAAGGAAGGGAAGGAAATAAAGCCAGGGTGTTGAGGGGGGAAGTGGGGGGACTGGAGAGGGAGGCATAGAGAGGGTGAATATTGGGTGCGTACGGAGAAGGTGGGAGGATAATTGAGAAATCAGAGCAGTCCAGTCGTCCTGGAAGCTGAAAAGTCAGCGCCCGGTTGCCCCGTCTCCGCGGCTTGTGTCACAGCGCTGTGCGTGCCGGGAGGTGAGTGGGTAGGGTAGTTGCAGGGTTAGGTAATTGGCTCTGAGGCTTGATGTTAACACCTTAACAGGCCCTCAGACGGCGGGGTAAGGAGCTGATCATATCACAACCTTCTGTTTCTCTCTCCCTCCTCCCTCCCCCTCTCTTCGCTCCCTGTCCTTCCCTCCCCTCTGCAGTCTCCCGTGCTCAGGTGTGATCTCATAAGCGCTGCTTGGCGATCGATGCCGCCAGTGGCAGGGGGTTCAATAGCCCTGAATTACAGCTTCATTTCTGCCCCCATCCCCTCCTTCCCTCCCCTCCTTTCCTCCTCCTCACACAGATGAGAGCTGCCCACTAACACCCCCATCCCACCTCCCCCTTTGCCTTCCTTCTCACTCACACACACTCTCACACACACACACACACACATAAGAAACACCCCCACCAACTACTCACAATCCAGATCAATACCTTACAATCTAATTTTTATCCATTTTTCCATAAACCCTGAGATTGCGTTTATTTGCAGAATCCGACAAGCTAAATAAAGCATCGCTTGAACATGTCAGGGAGACTAATGCGTGGCTGGAAATTCATACAGAGAAAACAGATGAGTGGAGCTTTTCGCTCCTAAAGGAAGGGAGAGGCTGAGCCCGACGGGAAGAGAGAGAGAGAGAAAGAGGGGTGGGGTGGGGAGGTGGGAAAAGATGGAGATTCCACAAATCAATGGAGGTGAGGACGCTGCTAGAACGTAAGCCCTAATTATCTGTTGCAAAAAGTGCATGTCGACAGTTAACAATACCTGACAGCTAGGAGCCTCACAGGGAGAATGCAAATTTAAAAAAAAAAAAAAAAAAAAATCCAGATAGAAACTGTGCGCTTGAATTAAGACATAATTATAAAAAAAAGTAAGAAACCTTTCCCTCTGGTGAAGGCTGCTCATTTTCAGCAGGGTATAAAATAATCTACATCCAAATTCATTTACATCATCATCATGGAGCAGATGTTCCCATAATAAGAAGGCAGCATGCTAAAGAGGGAAGACAAGCCACATGGTGCAGAAAATTAATCTCAATCTCAAATAGAGGTGTGAGTTTTGTTGCAGTTAGGCACCAGGAATGTATGCGGCTCCCTCGGCTGGCCCGGTTTCCAGCAGCTGTAAGACTGGGCCGGTTTAATCAACAGCAGGCATCCGCCCAAGCTCAATAAAAGGCAGCATTCACAAATAGGAGCGGGACGAGTAATTGACCACCTCACGGTCGAACCCGGCTTTTATTGCCAGATGACATGTGCGTCGTCAATGCGCTGTGGAGGCATCGCGAGTTTATATGTGAATGTGTTTATCTGCGGGATGTTATCTTTAGTCATGCATAAAAAATAAATAAATAAATAAAATCCTGCATATTTTCTGCTGAAAAAGTTGCATCAAATTAATCCAAGCTTTCCCTGGTTTGATTACGAAGTGAAACCTTGTATTGACAGCGCTTTGGAAAAGCATTCAT